GGCAGAGGCCAGTGGAGAGTAATATGGAGTCATTTAATCTTAGGAATCATCTCTTGCAGTTTGAGTCCCCTTCCAAGATTTTTGGATGGCTTTCAAAAACCTCTGAGAGGAGAAGCATCTGGAAATCTTTTTAACCCCTTGGAACTCCGGAGCGGTTTAACTCGGAAAAACCCAGCCCTCGTGGTGCAGACAGACTTAAAGACTTTGTAACGGCCTTTTCCCACCGGTGTCTCCCAGACGATTCAGGCTCCAAATGATAACTACAACTCCAAGGTCAGCAGAAATCCTTTCCCAAACCAACTTAGTGGAATAAGCCATGATGACCTCTATCAACGATTGCACTGTTTCTCGACCTTGGAGGCTTAAGACGGGTGGACTTCAACTCCCAGAATGTTTTTCCGCAGCCTGTTGAATTCTGGGAGTTGAAATCCACCCATCTTAAGCCTCTAAGGTTGAGAAACACTTGGTTAATCCAAACACCTATCCATTAAATACCTCGAAGCTGTCCTCATCACCTTCCTGTGACCACCTTTATTTATTGACTTAACTTCTCAACTGCTCCAGTCTCAAAAGATCTTCCAAGACTTCCTTCCTAGCAAAACCCTTTACCATCCTTTTTTTTTTAAAAAAATGTTTTACTGATACATTTTCCTCTTAAAAAAACAACATGTCTACCTGAACAGCGTGTTGTCTGGGCACAATTTTAACTAAAGATACAACAATAACCAAGGTCATATTAGTGATCTTAATAAACATATCAATATTAATCACAATATCATAATACCGTTAGTTTATCCATCTAGCCAAATTTCCAATACACATTCTTATTATCTTTTAAAATTCTGTTTAGTTTCTAACTTCTGTTTCTGTTAGTTAACCATTGGTAGAATAAATCCCAGGTTAAAAAATATTCTTTTTTTCCCTTTTCCTTTATCTTAAGTGTCAATCTGTCCATCTCAGCACATTCTAATATTTTTTATTACACTTTCATCTCATCCTTTTTTCATTGTTGTACAAACACTATTCTTACTGCCATTACTACATGCAAAATTAAATAGGTATTCACTTTATTATACTGTTCTGGTAGTATACCCAGCAGGAATGTTTCTGGTTTCAAATCGATATATTGCTTTTATCATTTTTTTCTAACCAAGTATGTATTTTTGTCCAATATTTTATTTGCCTTTGGACATGTCCACCACATATGATAATATGAACCTAGTATCTGATGAAATTTCCAACATTTAGCTGATAGATTTTTCAAACATCTTTGCCAACCTCTCTGGTGGCAAATACTACCACCTATAAAACATTTTGTATTAAGTTTTCCTTATAGGCAGTTGACATGGTTAGCTTACAATTTCTATCCCACAATTTCTGCCATTTGCCATCCTTTTTGTGTTGACTTCAAATTGCCATCGCTGCCTTTTGCCATAAATGCCAGGTCAGACATAGTTACTCTGAAAGATTGTTTTTTAAACTCTCCTGGCAGGAAACGAAAAGTTGATGTTAAAAAAAAACACCCACTTTTTTTTTACAACTGCCTCGATTTCAACCCAAGGCGAAAGAAACCTCGGTGGGCTCTGATTTATGTGGGGAGGGGGGCACACCGTTGGATTTATTAGCCAGATGCTAGCTAGGAAGTTTGCCAAGGAGAAGGAAGTATTATATTTTCCCTCTCCCAAACCTAGAATACTTGGTGAGTTTGAATATCACAAATCATCTGTGGATTTTTGTTTTAGACAAATGCATAGCAAACAGCACAGATGTTTTTCACATAAAGCAACTGTAAAAACAAAACCAAAAAAAAAGGAGACGTCTGTGGAGAGTCTCAATCATCCAATCGGAATAGAGCTAGAAGGGACTTTGGAGGTCATCTAGTCCAACCCCCTGCTCTTGCAGGAGACCTACGCTATTTCTGATAGATGGCAGCCCATTCTTTTTTTAAAAGGCTCCACTGTTACGGCACCTACAACTTCTGAAGGCAAGCTATTCCACTGGTTAACTGTCCTCACTATTAGGAATTCCAGGTTGCTTAACTCTGTGATTATTTCTCGTCTTGCCTTCTGATGCTTTGAAAAATAGGTTAGACCCCCTCTTCTTTGGGGCAGCCTCTCAAATATTGAAATACTGCTATCATGTCACCTCCTAGTTTTTCCGGCCATATCGAATTCCTGCCACCGTTCTTTCATACGTTTTTTGTCTGCAGGCTTTTAATCATCTTAGCTGCTCTTCTCTGCGCATTTTTTTTTTCCAAAGGCTCAACATCTGTTTTTGTATTGTGGTGACCAAAACTGGATACAGTATATTCCAGGTGCGGCCTTACTAAAGGCTTTAATAAAGCGGTACTAATACTTCACATGATTTCGATCCTGGGCCTCTTGTTTATACAACCAAGGATTGTGTTAGCCTTTCCGTAAACTGCTGTGTCTCATCTTTAAGTGATCGTCCAAGTACGACTCCAGTTTCCTTTTCACAGTGACTGTTTTTGAGCCAGGTTTTGTCTAATCTGCAGTTGTACCTTTTGGTTTTTCCTGGCCAGGTGTAAAAAAAACCTTGCTTTTCATTCAACAACATTAAATTCCATGTTGTTGGATAGGGTCCGTTGTTCAAGTCTGTTAAGATCTTTTTGGATCCTGAGATTGTCTTTTCCCAGCCTCAGCCCGCCGAGAATTGCATGAAGTAGGCTATTTTAAGCCTGCTGAGTCTTCCTAATTCACTGCTGTAACCATTGCACCACCCTGGAGTTCAACAAATCTCTCCTGAAGAAGGGCAGGGAAGAAGATGGAACAAGAAGGACTATACTAACTGTGTGGGCTTGTGTTTTTTTTAACCTCTCTGCTAGTTCTCAAGACAGCCAGGCACGTAATTCTTCGACATTGGAAACTTTGAGAAAACACCGTAGGCCAGATTGCAATTTGCCCAGGCATTAAACAAGAGGAAATGCCACTGACCAACTGCCATGTCCAATATTCTTGGCGTTAGTAACCTCTCTCCACTCCCTGGTGTATGATCCGCCTTGCAAATTATGGCTCATTTCTCAGAGGCACAACCCCAACAGGGGTGATTCACGACATAACTCAAACAGCCGGCCATCCCTCCCAGAAACAAGTCACCAATAAGTAAACAAGGAAGAGGAAGGCAGTTTAAGGAAATCCCCAAGGCAGTTGGATGGCAATATCAGCTTGAAATTAGCTTAAGAGCTCGTAGGACACTGGATATATCTCTGTGGACCACCTGGAGATGACCAAAGGCTATAAAGCAAACTCACCTCTAAAGGAGAGATCTCCAACCTTGGCCAATTGAACACTTGTGAGCTTCAACTTTCAGAATTCTGGGGGTTGAAGTTCACCCATCTTCAAATGTGATGGGTTGAACGGCTGCTGAGGGCTCGTAGGAAGAGCCCCCTAGCTAAGACTCTGCTTGGAGAGCCCCCAATAACGTCAGAAAGACAAGCTGCAAGGGAAAGCTCTTAATAGGCTTAACTGAACTTCTGGGCTTTCCGCCAAGAGCATTTCACACCTCGTAAAAGTGTGGCAAGCTAGATAAACAATCCGCTAAGCGCTTGCAGGGGAGAGCCATGGAGAAAATGAGATCACCTAGCCACTAGCCTCCAAGGGGATTAATTCACAAATAATAAGAATCACGCCCCTCACCAGAAACTTCACTAAAACTCCCAAGATCCCTCCTCACAGTCACTGCTGTTAAGCCTGGTTTCACCCAGTCCTTTATTCAAGTTATTAAATTAAATGCACAAAATAGTAAACAACTTTTTGGTATATAACCTTTTTTTTTTTAGGGAATTAGGGCAAAGAAGCAACGTCGAGTTGGCCACACACACCCAGTCCCATGACCACCAACCACACCCTGGCACCCAGTCATGAGGGCAGAGAGCCCCTTGCTAAAAAATGTGATGCCCGCCCTTGCAGCGAGGAATTGTGGGAGTTGGAGCCCACAAATCTTAAAAGTTGCCAAGGTTGGAGACCCCCTGCTCTAAAGGATTAGATAATTAAGCAAGGACTGGTCTTGCGGTCTGATACGCTCCACGGACAGCAAAGGATCCCAAGAACTAATTTCAGCAGGTTGAGAATTTATTTTTCATTTGTGGCAGCCAAAAGGAGATCATCTCAGAGTCCTTACCTCATCATCTTTGTACCACGAGAGGTTTTCGGCAGTCAGGACAAACCAGTATTCTTTGGCGCCTCCTTTCATGATGCCAATGTTGTTGATCGTGAGCCAACCTTTGCGGATCACCTGTGGACGCCAAAACGCACCAGAGTCACGAATGCCAGGTCCAGGATCCGGATAAATGCAAACACAACTGCACCACAGCAAACACAACGAGCGGCAGGATTGGCTGAGAAGCTGCTCCGTGGAGCATACAACTCAAGCCAACGATCTGCGATTAGTGATGTGAAGTCTCGGGGCGGGGGGGGGGGGGGGGAAGGTGGAAAAACTTTAGAAAATAACATTCCCCCCCCCGCCGCCCCCAGTTTAAAAAATGGAATTATTTTGCAAAACTACGCAATGCATGCAGCCGTCTTTGCATGGTTGGGATTACTGATTAAGCAGGGAAAGAGATGAGAAACAAAGGAGTTAATAAGCATTTTAACAATGGAGCGAGAACAGTGCTGGGAAACAACGAGAAACTGATGTCCTTTAATTGTGTTTGCGCTGTGTGAGCCTGTCAAGCATCTTCACAGCTGCGCCCTTGACATGTTAACCCCACGGACCTCAGACTAGGACCTTTAAAAGTTCTCCACCTCTCTAAAGAACGATCAGTTGGGTTCACCACTTTCCACAACCTCCACAAACCCCTGGAACAGGGTCCAATTCAAGAAGGCCCCCCCACGTTCCTAAGATGGTGGCCTTCGAAAGGTTGGAGCTCCGCAACTCGGAGCTCCAGAAAAGATGGTTATGGACCATGCTCACTGGAGGGCGCGGCAACCGTACACCGCATCTCCAGAACATCAGATTGGAGGACTCTACTGAAGAAGTCCCATCTCAAACTACTAGAGGTTTACGTTTAGTGAACTGGGTGGTCCCATTGACGTATAGATCTTTGCATCTGCTCACATCCTTTGCAGAGTGACATCAGGACACACTTGTGTTGGGTGCCAGCACACAAATGACATTGTTTTGGGAATGTGTTCTCTTGCTTTCCATGTCTCTCATCCTAAGTTCCGGTCAACTGATGACCATTGTCCCTTTTCTCCCCTCTACCCTCATCTATTGGGCATTTCATTCTTCTCCTCAGGCTTGGAATCTGCCTGTTGAGTTTCAGGCATGTTTAAAAGGTTTGCACGTCCTGCTCCTTAAAGGAGCATCTTCCACTTGTAGCAATAGGTGTAGTAACCACATTCCCCAAAGCACCAGATAATCTAGATGGGTGGATTTTGCAATATGAAACCTCTGGGATGTTGGAAAGGTGAAATTTTAAACTCTTAATTTTACAATTCCCTCCACGTTTCTCTGACCTGCCTGCAGTATCCAAAATGAATAACCCCATGTTCCAATTTCGAATCTTTTCGCTTCCTTGTTTCTCTTTCCCCCCAAAAAACCTGATTTGACTTCTTTCTCCTCCTTGCTTTGTCTGCGCACCTCCCAGAGGTTCTAAAATTAGTAATTTTTTTCAGACATGCCACAAACAATGAGTGGCTATTTTATTTCTCCCACCCACCCCCCCTCTTACTCACCAGGATCTCATCCTGAAAAAACAGAGCAGCACCAGCAGAGACAACAGGAGCAAAGAAAGGAAAAATTATTACTCAAAAAACAAAAAAGAAAGCAATTGGAAGGAAGAAGCTGCGCGCACCAAAAGTGTGTGTGTGTGTGTGTGTGTGTGTGTAGAGAGAGACACACACAAATGCATAAATGTATGTACACACGTATATAGCCTTCCCGATTTGATTCCACCAAATGCGGACATCACAATGTCCAGATTTCCACGGTGCCCAACGAAGGATAATGGGAACTGTAGTCATGAACCCACTTGGAGGACACTAACTTTGGGAAGACCGGTAGATGATCTTCCACCCATCCATCCACCCCCAAATATTTGTGACTGAAGGTGTTTGCTCAAACTGACACCTGGATAACACTAAAAAAAAAAAAGCTCACGCCGCCAAAGAAAATAAAAAGGAGGGGAAGAAAAAGAAGAAAGGGGGAAAATTAAGCACCGGCTGGTCGTGAAGGACCCCTGAATCGAGATTATGGGCCACTCAATTATGGAGGTTTGGCGTTTCAACTCAAACCTAAGTCGGTTTAGGAGTTGGGAGTCCAAAACTATTGGAGAAGGAAGGAAAAAGCAGATTTTAGAGTACATCTTTCCTAAGACGTGTTGATGAGAAACACAGATATCTCAAAATGGGAGGGCCTTCCTTGTTTGGGTTACTCATTTCGATTTACCACAGACAGCCTGTCCCCTGTTTCTATGGCAGCCAGAAAGAAAAGCAGAAAAAGGATTCTTGGAGGCTGACACAGTCCTTGACTTCCAACAGTTCACTTAGTGACCATTTGAAGTGGCAACAGAATTGAAAATAGTGACTTGTGGCCATTTTTCACACTTACAACCATTGCGGTATCCCCATAAATCACCTGATCCAAATTTGGATGTTTGAAGGGATGAAGGGAATCAGGGCCTTTTTCTCCCCCGTAACCCATGTTGCTCCCTTCTCCGTTCCTCCCTGCGTGCCCTAGGAGGAAGAGAGGGTGGGCCTGGGTCTTCCTCTGAATGCCTAGACAGACTATGCCCTTCCCCGGTTTCCTCCACAGCCACCGGAGTCACAATCCCACTTCCTGTCAGCTGTTCGACCTCCTCCTCGGAATCAGACTCCAACAGGGGCATGACAGGTTTCACCGTTGACTTTACTTGTCAGAAGATTGCAAAAGACGATCCCACTGCAACTGTCATGAACATGAGTCAGTTGTCAATCATACGAACATAAACCTTGTGACTGTGCGGAGGCTGCAAAGGTCGTAAGTGTGAAAAATGGTCCTAAATTTCCTTCTTTTTCAGTGCCATTGTAACTTCAAACGGTCACTCAATGAACTGTGGTAAGTCGAGGACTACCTATAGAAGTAAGCAGCACCCAGGTTGGTAGGTAGGACAAGAGATGAAGTCCAACCTTGGTCGTAACCATCAGATTTTTACCGATCGGTCTGCTAATTTCAATCAATATCTCAATTTTTCTTTTCCCAAGACTACGGAGTGGGTTTTTTTGAGCATGATGGATTGGGAGAAGTGTCAGGATTCCAGCAATCGCCCAAATTCAATCATGATTCTCGAGCCAAACTTCAATAAACTGCAAAGGATTTAATTGAGGTGACATACTGGCCCTGCCTTGTATTAAGCCAACTCTGGCATACGTAATTTACAGTCATCTATGGCCCTGTTTCCCACCTTCCCCCTGGGTGTCTCATAAACCAGATTCTCCAATTGAGGCCGTTCACAGGCTGGGTGTCATCAATCATGTTCTCCAATTATGGGCCGGGTGACATCAATCACATTCTCCAAATTAAATATATTCGCAGGCAAAAGCTCTGATAGTTTAGTTACAATCTTTTAAAGGTAAGAGTTGGAATGGACCTTCACTTCCAAACTTCTTCACTGCTCTTCCAGATTTGCTTCCTCCCCACCCACCCCTTTTTAATGGCAACTACTAAAAGAGTCATACGAATGGTTTATGAGTTGACAAGAAGGTAAGAAGGCCATCCAAACTTCTTCCGTCTTCACAACACTGCTAACAAACCTTCTACTTCCAAATCTTCTCTACCTATCTGGCGGTTGAAAAATGGGGCGAAAATGGGAGCCAATGGATGGCCAACACACAGAAACCGAATTTATCTCCATAGATGACATGGTCCACATCACCCACAATGCATCCACAATGCACATTAATGAAAGCATCCACCATAAATCATGCCAAATGACAGGGAAGACCACTGACATCCGTTCATTGCATGGGACCCCCCTCACTTTCAATTGTTGAGGGATTCTTACCTGATTCCCAGCTGTTTTTTTCTTACTCATTTGGCTGCTCCTCTGCTGGGCACTGCAAAAGAAAAATGTTTAGATAGCTATATAGATACTGTAGATAGATAGATAGATAGATAGATAGATAGATAGATAGATAGATAGATAGATAGATAGATAGATAGATATAGATAGATGATAATAGATGAAAGATAGATGATATATGATAAAGATAGATAGATAGATAGATAGATAGATAGATAGATAGATAGATAGATAGATAGATAAATGATAGATATTTAGATGATAGATAGATGATAGATAGATATGCCTCTCTCTTTCTTACAATAGTTACACTTTTCTTTCTAGGATCTCCCAACAGGAGATGGACTGTGAAATATCTAAAAAGCTTTCATTCCAATATACTTTGCAACATTAAATTTTCGAGCACTCATCAGAAGAGAGCTGGAAGGAACCTTGAAGATCTTCTAATTTCGCTTCTCATCCAAGAAGCTTCTTCCGTTCTGACTGAAGAAGCTTCTTGGATGAGAAGCGAAACGTCTTCGAGGAAAAACGAAGTCCAGCCGCCTTTTGAAAAAGCCTCTCTGGGACCACCATGACCTGGATGACTGAGAATCTCTGTAGCCCTCTGGGAAAGCAGTGTTTTCAACTTTTCCCAGAAGGCAGATAACAAAATAAGAGTTAATGGCTGGGTGAAATTTGTCAAGAGGAACAAGCTCAACACCGAAAAGATGGGCTGCCTCAAGTCATCTCATAAGTAAATTTTGACTTACTTGGCAAATCCAATGAAGTCTTCATGATTGGTGTTCATGTAGGCCAACTCAATGTCTATCAGGAGCATGACCTGGGAACGAAAACCATGACAAGAGAGAGTTGAACCATTTGAGAGCCCTCAAAACGACCTCCATCAACATCTCCACACTAAGCTTATGGTTACTAACACTACGATACTGCACCGGGGCCTCCAAAACTGGGTTTTCTGCTCCTATAACCCTCCGGGAGGTGGATTCTCCTGATGAAGAAGGCTGGGTTTCGTTGGGGGGAGAAGCGTGGACTCCAAATGAAAGGGGCTGGTTGGGTAGCTACAGAAATGGGAAGCTTCTCCAAATAGAACATACCTGGTCTTTGGTCCTTCCCTCTCTCTCCCGGATGTAAGTAGTCACGATACGCTCCATCTCCTCCCGCAGGTGGGGATATTGGCTTAGCTGTATGGGGAGGGAAAATAAGAGAGGGAAGAATGTCCAGACAGAGAAGAAGGTGGAAAACATACCCCAACACACTCCAGGAGTATCTGGCCAGGTTGTTGGGGAATGAGAAAGCAAAAGGGAAGAATATGGGAAAAGGGAAAGCTGCGAAGATGTTTTCCAACATTCAACCAAGTTTGGAAGTTCTTCCTTAAGGCATGTTGTAAGCCTGCTGTCAATCCCAGAGGGCTTTCTTTCCAGTGGAGAACAAATCTATCCATGGTGGCTTGCAAATCATGACTTAGGAAGTCAGTATGTGGAGTGAGTCACACTAACCGGGCCTTAACCAATCAACCATGATTCAAGGAACCATGGCTTGGGGTGACGCCGACAACAACGTCTCCCTTGCCAGGAGGAGGATGTTGAAGATGAGTTATGGAATGAACGATAGCCACCCCTTCAGAAGACCCTGGGTGGGTTTAACAAGAAAGCCATCCTTAACCATCATTTGACAAGGGGTAAGGAGACTATTTATGATGCCAGAGTTGGCTTCATTTAGGTTAATGCCGGCATATTGCTCCTAATAAATTTTTTCAATTTTTTTGAAGCTTGGCTTGAGGCTCATGATTTAACGAGGGCAATCGCCGGAACCCTGACAGTTTGCTGTTGTTCTAGAGCAGGGTTTCTTGACCTTGGCCCCCTTGAAGACATGTGCACTTCAGCTCCCAGAATTCAGCTGGCTGGGGAATTCTGGGAGTTGAAGTCCATACATCTTCAAGTAGCCAAGGTTGAAGAACACCGCTCTGGAGAACATCTACTTTCTCGCTGGAGACAGCAAAAACCAGATAGGTAAACCAAAATCCAGTTTGGAAATTGGAAAACACTTTCCCAACTCTTCTTATCCAAAACAGACCCCACCTCATTCCTCTCCCTACCCCCCTGCCCCACCCTTAAAAATTGCAAAAAAGATTTCACAAAGTTTATGTCACATTTTGACCGTCGCCATTTAGCACAACCTCATGCGGGGTAAGCAGCATCCAACGTTTTGGGAAAGAGAGGACATGCGTGACAAGGACAGTGGCGGGCCACGAGCGACTCACAACACAGGAACATTCATTTCCCACTCCACACCAAAAAAATGGATCATGCGTTGGGGTGCACAGCGGCGGGAAGAGGGGGCTGTAAGATAAGCAGCACCCAGAAAATGCCATCCTTTTGAACAAGAGAACGGGCAAACTGGAGGAGGGGGCTGGTGGGCGCCTTAAAAATTAGGGGTGCCATCAAATTCAACCTCGACGGACACTCAGTTTCCTGCTCCTAAATCTTTCTAACCATGATCCTGGAGGAAGTCAAGGAAGAGGAGATGGCTCACCCTGCGTGTTCTGATCAAGGCTCCCTAGACTGTAAATAGGCACACGCTTATTTTAAAAACAAGTCTTATTTTCTTGCAATGCTGGGAATCGTTTTCATTCCCAGCCAGAATTAATCTTAAAAAAGTCCCTTGAGATAAGCACTCACCTTTCTTTCCTGTGAAGTGCTGCCAATAACAGAAGTGTCAAATGAACTAGAAAATAACCCAGCCAAAGTACAAAGAGCTTCACGGATTAATCTGAACCGAACAAGTGACTTTGCTTCCTGCAAAGGTTTCTTCACCTTTGTCTATCCGTTATACCTTATGGGAGGGGCAATCACCTCCAAGCCTTACTCCTGAATCTCCCCTTTTGTTTCAGCTGCTCTCGACTTCTAGCAGCTCTGCGCACATGCGCTCTGGGAACAGGCTCCTGCTGTTCTTCTGCCTCGCTTCTGCCAGACTCCAGGGGCTCCGGAGTCAGCACCCCACTCCCAGATGATCCTGGCCCCATCCCTGCATCAGACACGTGACCCTCATCTGAGTCCACTCCAGATTCCTGGACTGGTCCCCGTTCTTCCCCACTGTCCGATTCCACTGCCATCTGCACCGGCTGCCGGCAAACCACAACACTGCAAACCGTCGGATCCCCTGATCCATCGCTAACCTACATCTCCAAACTGGCTGCATCCCTGGAATGAATGCAGCCAGTCGCCCTCTTCCTATCCATGACCACCATCCAGGGGGGATATCCTAACCCTGACGTGGAATTAAGGATTTCATGATAGGCCGGCGGGATGTTGACAAGTTTTGCTCCGCTGGTGAAGCACCGGTTTTGACTCACACGTGAAAGAAGCCGTGGAAAAAGAGCCCTAGCCAGTTGCTCGTTGGTTAGTCTGTGGCTGAACACCCTGTACGGACCTAGAATATGGCCGTTGGGGTCAGGAAGTCAGGGAAATGAAATTGGTGAATCCTGGAGAGCGAGGCTCCGCCACGACAAATCCTCCTTTGCCAAATTCATGCTTCACTGGCTTGGATTCCGTGACTCCCATCATTCTTGACAGCTTCCCAAACCTAACCTCATTTCCCAAGTGCCCTCATATTTTTCCTTGCTTCGAGAGGGCCAGGATGCTTTTACGCTACAGAATACAGCTTCTACTCCAACCCCTCCACGCTCAGGCAGGAAAACCTAGACCGTTTCAGACAAATGGTTGCCCAGCCTCTTCTTCAAAGCCTGCAGTGTTGGAGCATGCACAACTTTTGGCGACAAGTCGTTTCTTCTGGTTTATTGTTCTCGCTGTCAGAAAATTCCTCCTTAGTTCTAGGTCACTTCACTCCTTGATTAGTTTCCATCCGTTGCTTCTTGTTTTGCCTTCAGGTGCTTTGGAGAATAGCTTGACCCCTTCCTCTTCTTTGGGGCAGCCCATTGGAAAACTGCTTATCATGTCACCCCTAGTCCTTCTCTTCATTAAACTGGACACACCCAGTTCCTGCCACCATCCTTCACATGTCCCAAAGGTGCTTTTTTCAAGAGGCAACTGGACTTTCTGGTTTTCCTTTGAAGAGGGTTTCGCTCCTCATCCAAGAAGCTTCATCAGCTCTGACTGGACGCTGGTGAGGAATGGAAGGATTTATAGACAGCTGTTCATTTGCATCCTTTTAGAGAGAACCGTTGAGGCCACTTAGAAGATTATCTGGGTCGCCTGAGCGGTGCAAAAGGATGCGTGCAGCCTTCTTGGAAGTGCTGGAAGTAGCCTCAACGGCCGTCTCAAAGGATGCAAATGACCAGCTGTCTATAAATCCCTTCCAGGACAGCCATGACCTGGATGACTGAGAATCTCCACCGATATCCTTTTAACCTTCTTTGTTGCTCTTCTCTGCAACAGTTTTCAGAATCACAACATCTTCTTTTTATAGCGTGGTGACCAAAAGCAGACGCGGCATTCCAAGTGCATAATGCATTCTTAAAGTGGCACAAACACTTCAAGCGATCTTGATTTTATTATCCTTAAATTCCTGAATCTATGCCTTTCTATTCCACCCCCTTCTCCGAATTTTTTTTTTTTTTTTTGATTTCTCTTTCAGGCAGATCTGTCATCCCTTCTCCATTCTTCACCGACACCCACACAAGGGCTCTTGGAAAAACAGATGGGTTCATTTCCTGTCTCGTTTAGCAATCCTTAGGCGTGATTTTCCTTTCCCCTCCTCCCTCACAGGCAGGATTTTTAAAATGGATTTTTTTTTCTTCTCCTTCTTTTTTCTTTTTGCAGTCAGGGGAGGGCTTTGCTTGTAGTGAGTTCACCATTGAGGAATTTGGGGAGCAGAAAGAGGAAAATTTAAAAAAAAACAAAATGTGAAGGTATTGTTTAAACAGCTCGAGTTTTTTTTTTTTTATCCGAATGCAGGGCATCCTCGGTTTGCAACCATTTGTTTAGCAATCGTTGGAAGTTTCAATGGCCCGGGGTCAAATGATCGCTGTATGCAACCTTCTGACAAGCAGAGTCAGTGGAGGAAGCTGTCTTCCTTAACGACCGTGTGATTCAGCTAATAACTGCAGTGATCCCTTAAACAATAATGGTAAAATCAGGCACAATTCACTGAACAAGTCTTTGCTTAACCATGGACATTCTGGACTCAATTGTCACTTTAAGTCAAGGACTATCTGTAGGACTCAATTGTCACTTTAAGTCAAGGACTATCTGTAGGCACATGGGATAACAACATTACAACACTTACCCCACCCAACCCAATTGGAATAGAGCTGGAAGGGACCTTGGAGGTCTTCTAGTCCAGCCCTCTGCTCAAGCAGGAGACCCTATACCCGTGATGGTGAACCTATGGCACGTGTGCCACAAGTGGCATGCAGAACCATTTGTGCTGGCACGCGAGCCGCAGGCAAACTTATTCCACTGCGCATGCATGCGCCTCACAGCTGTTTTTTTTTTATTGGTTTGAGGCCTTTTTCAGCCTCCTGGAGGCTTGGAAAAAGCCCCCGCAAAGCTTTTCAGGACCAATTATAGGCCCGTTTCATCGCTTCCTATAATACTGGAAGTGACGAAACAGGCCTATCATTCGGCCTGAAAAGCCTCGCGGGGGCTTTTTCCAAGCCTCCAGGAGGCCAAAAGAGGGCCTCAAACCAGCCGAAAAAAAATCAGCCGTGAGGCACAGTGCAGGTAAGGGGGTGAGATGGGGATTGTGCGCACATGCACAGGGGGGCACGCATTGCATTCTGGCTGGTGGTACATGAGTGCATGTGCGCTGGTGCGCCCAATTTTTGGCACACAACGCCCAAAAGGTTAGCCACCACTGCCCTATACATTGCGGTCAGGGGGCTGTCCAGTCTCTTTTTAAAAACCTCCAGTGATGGAGCATCCATAACTTCTGTAGAGAAGCTGTTCCACGGGTTGATCGTTCGTGCAGTTAGAAAGTTTCTCCTTCCTCATTTCTATCTTCACTTCCATTGGATACAGATGCTCAAGGAAGGCTTTTGTCTGCAGAAGGACCCAAAACACAAGCTAACCACAAACTCCGAACAAAGCGTTTTCGAGCAACTCTTCCAAAGACAAAATGCAGAGAGAGAGAGAGAGGAAGGAAGGAAGAACCAGCCTTGTGGCTTCCCTCCAGCATCCCAGGGAAGTTGCCCATGGGAAGGAATTCCGCGGGGCAGGAATTGAGAAGGGACGAGAAAGATCCTCCTTTAATCACCCAGGAATCCTCTTGGCTGGCTATTGTTTTAAGTGAACTTCAGAGAATCAGCAGCAGAACATTTAAATCCCTCCCTGGCTTCTCTTACGATCCTCCTTGGGGCAACCACGTCTAAGGAGGTTGCTTGCAGCCACGTTGTTGCAACAACACAGAGCTGCTTTTTTAGGACTGTTGCAGCTTCGCCCAGCTGACCAGCAAACCTTCACCAAGCCTGACCTCCCCTTTTGCTATTGCATGGGGAAAAAAAAACCACATCCGTCCTCTTTTTTTTTTCCTTCTCAAATAAGGATGTTAAGTTCCCTTTCTTTTCTCATTCTTGGTTCCGCCCAAAAGTCTTCCTTGCCCTGCCTACATCCAGTCGTGAAATGCATCTGAGAATCTAACCTTCCAAAGCTTTTGTCTTCGTTACAGATCAAAATCAAAGCTTTGAGAATCTGAAGTTTGCTCCACTGGTTTGTTCGCCGGGTAAATCGAGAGCCAAGAATGCCGTATGGATTCAAGAGGTGTGTGGCGCCATCTAACGGTGTCCAGATGTCCTAAAAACTGTACCTCATAGTGTGGACTCCGAATGGTGTTTTTGGAAAAGAATTTCCGCAGTTTTCCAGTGTTTGATGAGCGTGGTTCTCTCCTATTTAACGCTTTTTGTGTGTGTAAAATTAATGGAATGCCAACGCGAGGAGAAGAAAGGTTAAGAAATGAGATTTTAAGAGAAATCGGATTTCAGATGGGTGCCAACAGGAAGAAATCTGGCAGACAGATTTTGTCTTTGCGGGCATCAGGGTGAAATCCTGGCTAGACCTGAACTGAAGAAGCTTCTTGGATGAGAAGCGAAACGTCTTCAAGGAAAAACCAAGGAAGTCCAGTTGCCTCTTGAACATTTAGCTGTGCCAGAGCTGAAGAAGCCTCTCGGATGAGAAGCGAAACGTCTTCAAAGAAAAACCAGAAAGACCAACTGCCTCTTGAAAAAAAAGTAACTTTGGAACAACCATGACCTGGAGGACTGAGAATCTGCATAGACGTTCAGACCAAGGCTTTGCTCCAGATGACCAGTAGGACATATCAAGAACACCTCAGACTAGTTTTCTCCTTGAGTGGCCAATCTAGGACTTTGAAGCACTCAGAAGAAGGAGAAGATAGAAGTCCTACCACCTCCTCCCTTCTCCTTCAGAGCTAGAACCTGTCTACTTACGGCCCAACAAGCATCTTCACCCCATCACCTCTTGATCTCCAAAGACCGTTCCTTCTCTTCTATCCCCATTCTCTCTGACAACTGTCCTTACTCTGAGGGAGAAAATCACCTCATGGAACCTTCTCGTTCTCCCACCTTCGACTGTTGTCTCCTCAAAACAGGCACAGGGGCTCATCTTGTGGGTTCATCTCTGTGTGCCCGCAAAATGGCATTGGGTTTTTGTTTTTAAAATGGAGGCAGGTAGGGAAGTAGCTCTCTCCTTGGCAGGATCTTTACCTTGCTGCTACACTTTCTGATGGTGGACGTGAGTTCACTCACTACCATGTCCACACACTTCAGACAGGGCTCCTTCAGTTTTTGCATCTGTTTTTTCACTATGGCTTCGAAAGCGAGGTCAGGCGTGAAGAGACCCGTTCTGCACGATGGACAGGAGCAGGGGAGGTAAGTGGGTGGGCGGGAAAGAGGGAGAAGAAGCGATGAGGAGGGGAGGAAGGCGTGAAGCAGACGGAGGGAGGAGAGAATCAAAGAGAGAGAGAGAGAAAGAGAGAAGGGGGGAAAGAAAAGAAGAAGAGAAAAAAACACAAGGTAAACAGAGAGAGAAGCTAGTTCTCTTTTCTCTTCTGGATCACTCTCTCCACAGACAGAGGTTCTCAATCATCACTAGTAGATTCCATGTGCTGCCAAGCATCGAGTGAATACTCCAGGTTAGAAGAAAGGAAAATGAGAAATGGCAAGCTATGGGATGAGTTTTTTTAAAAAAAGGATGAAGGGTAACACGCAGAGATGGATCTTCCCGTTCCTTTCCTCCTTTCCTCTCTCCAACCAAGACTGGGAACCAGCTTGGTTTTCCTTCTTCTCTTAACATGGTGGGCCGCCTCCCTTAGGGTGACATTTCGAGGGAACAAGTCAAGTGTGGCATCTTGAGAACTTGAAGAAGATAGCTATGCATGTGTTGGCAAACGCACCTATCTCCCTAAGGGGTTTAAACTTTGGAAAATGAGTTAAAACTTCCCATCTTCTTAAAATCGTTGAGTTATGAAGACAAGGCTAGGCCACCGGAGCCAAACTATACTCAATCCAACATCTACCAGATCAATGTTTCTCAATGTTTCTCTCTTTAAGGTGCGTGGGTTTCAACTCCCAGAATTCCCCCAGCCAGCATGCTGCAATCAGCCTTCCTTCCTTCCTTCCTTCCTTCCTTCCTTCCTTCCTTCCTTCCTTCCTTCCTTCCTTCCTTCCTTCCTTCCTTCCTTCTTTTTCGTTCTCCCTTCTCCTGTCCTTCAGAACAGGTCAGCTACAAAAGGACTCTCTTAGAGGCATGGATTTGTCTGCTCTTTGGAGTGGGTGAGGGAGACGGAAAGAGAGGGCAAAAAAAAAAATAACGGAGAAAGGAGGTGGAGGAAAAGGAGGGAAGAAATAAGTTCAGAAGCAGGAAAGGGGCTTAAAGAAAAGCAAAGAATGTGGATTTGACTCATAGGGAAATTAACCGAGACCGCACAATGAGGACGATCGGTCCAATTGTTCATATGACACTCTATACTTGGCAGCCCAAGGGATAGTGATTATCAGGAGCGAATGGCAAATTTCTGGGTGCTCCTCATACAGGAAGCCCCCCCCTCTCCCCAAGATAGCAGGATAGAAAAAGAAAACTCCTCCCAGCATTCTAGAACCTTGAGGAACCTGCGACAGGTACGCCCGTTTCGTCAAAAGGACCCTAACCCAACTTTGCTGCGGTTCCTTGCCAAAGTAGACATCGCTCTTGCCCTTTGCTGGGACCTGTCTACCAAAAAGAGCTTTTTCAGGCTCCGTCCATCTCTTCCCCATCCCCTTACCTGCTCCCTACTGGCCAACAGGTTGTCCGAGATGGGTAAAGTTCCAGCTTCCCACACTATGAGTCAAATGCCTTTTCATTTTTGAAGGAAGAACTTCGACCACTGTCTCGCTTGAAGTCCTGGCCTTCCCTCGGCCCTGTCCCATTCTTATTTTTCTTCAGCTTTGGGAAACAAATAGCTGAGGTGGGAACCCTTCTACGTGTTCCTCTGAATCCATACGTTAACGTATCTTTCAAGGTCGCCCTTTTTTATGAGTGACAGGGAGGTGTTTCTAAATGGATGATCTTCAACCCTTGGCTCCTCTTTGGAGCAGGACCCAGACCAAGCCAATCAGAAAACCAGGCCAATCTCTGAAGATATAAAAACAGATCCCTACGATACCATTGTTTGAGATCTTCTGTCTCTGAAGACTCAGCCCGTGTGGATATTTCAGAGAGGAAGACAGACGTAGGATTTTAAGAGTGGTAGAGTTGGCTTGAACAATTCCAAAATGGAACTGTTGAATTGTGCGTTGTTATGGGTTGATATGTACGGTTCCAAAAATGTGTGACTTGGTTGTTCCAAAATGTATGTATGTATGTATCTATGCATGGATAGATAGACATAGATAGATAGATAGATAGATAGATAGATAGATAGATAGATAGATAGATAGATAGATAGATTTGGGATGAATTCTGGAGGGGAAAAATGAGTGAGACCCAACTAACTATGTGAGAGAGTACTAACTTCACCACCAAGTTGTGGAACGATTCTGCCAACATGGATCAAATACTTCCAAGAACACTTGGGCAAAGGGAAGGATCATTCCTGGATTTTCAGTTGAATAGCCCAATTTTGGGGGGGGGGGGGGGGAAGA